AATGGTGTGAAAAAAGACAGGACACGGTCTTTGACAAGTCCTTTATTAAAAGAAAAAACTAAAAGAATGTCCCCTGCAATAGATCCAACGTCAATCACGATGCCCGCCGTCATCGCTGCTGCCGCCGCCGACCCGTAAAAAGAATTTAAAGCAAAAGGCTCTTCTCCCGACGATGGCTTCCAGCCGCCTGTCTGCTCCGATGGTTTGACAGTTCTTAAATATGTAAGGGGCGGGGCCACCCGGGGACATCACCAGAGTGACCCCGCCCCATGTGACAATTCTTTTACATTCAGCTGTCAGTGGGGAGCCCCGCTGACAGCCGAAACATTAACACTTGGTTGTCACTGCTAAAATACCGCATTACTTGATAAAATAACTAATGCAGTATTTTAGTAGCCTTTACTTTTTTCTGACCTCTGGAACGGATTAATTGGTTTTTTCAATGCATTCCTATGGGAAATGGCATTTCAGTTTACGAATTTTTCGCTATACGAAAAGTCCTGCAGAACAAATTCAATTCGTAAACTGAGGTATTATTGTAGAACAAAGAAAGCCTAAAAAAGAAAAACTAATACAGACACCACATCTAAGAATTGCTAAGCTGCAATATAATAAATGTTTGCTTTTGGGTTTAATACTGCTTTAAATTGCAGCTTACCATTTTTTAGACGTGGTGGCTGCATTTGTTTTCATTGTTTAGGCTTTATTCCTTCATTTCACCTGATGATCCAACCAGTAACACACTTAGGGATGGATTTACTAAATGTGGTGCTTTCAGAATCAGGAACAGATGTGCAAGGTAGCCAATCAGCTTTCAACTTCAGCTTGTTCAAGCAAGCTTTGGCAATAAGGCTTGGTTCACACTTAGCGGGTTGGTGCAGGTGCGGGTATCGCATCTGTTTCTGCACCAGTAACCACCCGCAGCAGAATCTTGCCGCTCTTAAGAGACATGCAGGGTTGCCATTCATTCTGAATGACAGCCCCATGCATATCAGTTCACAGTGTAATTGCGGGTACGGGAACCACAGGGAAACTGCATGGTCAAAAAGACCATGCGGTTTCCCTGTGGTTGTGTTTTTAAAAATGTGCATGCACCTTTTTTTGTGCTGGAAATGCAGGCACAGCAGCCCATTCACCACAATTGTGGAAACTGAGCCTAAACCCTGGAAGCTGATTGGTTTCTATGCAGAGTAGCACCAGATTTTGCACTCTCCAGTTTTAGTAAATAATTTTCTGTCTAAGAGTCTCTGCATTCTGGATGAAGTAGCAAAGCAAACACCTTTGGTGAACAGCATTGCTAGTCTGGGGAGAGGTTAGACTAGAGAGTAGCATCAGACTAGCAGATTTAGATGAGCTTGATGAACACTTTATAAGCAGTTATAGCAAACAGTTTTTTTTCTTTTGGGAAGAGTTACATAAATTAACAAAAGTTGACCATTTTAAGCATCCTGTCAGTGTTAAATGGTTTGTCTCAACCCTCTAACTACTACTCTTTTTGAACAACGCGGTATATTAAAGTAAGTTGAAAAATACCAGATTTACTACGTGGATTGCTAGGAAAGGAATAAAAGAAAAAAAGCCTAAAAAAACCCAACAATTCCAGCCACCACATGTAAGAATTGATGAGCTGTAATTAAGTCCCGGTTCACATATATGTGGATTGGATGAGGTTTGAACAGCATCCAATCCTCATGACGTGAAATAACATTGCTTCCTATGGTGCCTGGTCACATATGTCCAGTGCACTGGCGGAGCAGATTCAGTGCAGTTTAAAAATGAGTCATGTACAATTTCTGAGCCGTGCCTTCAGGTTCAGGTGCAGATTACAGACTATTGATTTCTGTAGGAACCATTTCTAAACCACACATGTGGGAACAGGATAAGATCTTGACCCTAACCTGTTCTGAACCTGATGTAAACCTGACATGAACCGCTGAACAACTACTGTGTCAATTAGCTGTGAAATCTGAACTTCAATCTGCAGCGCACATGTGTGAACCAACTCTTAATACATTTTTGTTTTTGGGTTTAATACCATTTTAACTAAACCTACAACCTACGGTAAACCTAAACCCTTAACCCCCTAAGCCAAAACCTTAATATTAACATTTGACACCTAATCCTAACACTAACCTATCCTATGCCCAAACCTAACCCTAAAAATATGTTACTGCTGCAGTAACACACTTGAATGGATGCCAATAGTTGCCAGTTCCTCCACGGGGTCTAAAAGTGCTTACATTAAATTATGGCACTTCATTACAATGTTGGTACAATTTATGCACTACACTTTTCTTTCTTGCACCACTTATTTGAACAGATCACTTTACTATTTTTGGCTTTTTGCAAACATTTATTTAACAAACTAATATTTCTGGTAATTATAAACCTTTGTACAGTATATATTGTGTAAAAGCTACACAGCTAAATCTTTCTACTTTATTTATAAATGCACTGCTTTGCGATTTACTATATAGGTGCCACTTTATTCTATTATTGTGCTAATAATCATATGGTATCCAAAGTATTTATTAAATGTAATTATCTCCATGTATTAATCATGTTTCCACAATTGGTTTCCCCTTCTTACATATCGTGTTTGATATGAGAGGTACATATAAGCTATTTATGACAGGCTCCTTAGTAGACTGACATGATAATATCAACATAATATACCACCTGACAATATATTCTCTTCTTTATATACTTGATATACACAGCTATTTATTTATACAGTATTATATAAATTACATACAAATATTACCTTTCCTGAACCGCTTTCCAAGTGTTGATTTACTAAAGGCAAATAGGCTGTTTGGGAATCTGCATTATGCAAGGGATTCGTTCCTTAGCTTAGTGAATAAGGTGAAGCTCTACCAACTTCCATCACCCATTCATGTGCAGGGAAAAAAATGTTTATTTTTTTATTTTTTTTTATTTTGAATGTTATTGGGAATTATTTGATTAAGCTAAAGGCAAAGTAGCCTTGCAAAGCGAACTATCTGTTTGCCATTATTAAACCAATAACTTGAAAAGTCTGTCTAACACAGGCAGTGCCTGGTATTCTATTTGTAACATGGGTATTCCCTAACAGAGTTGACTGACTACTTTAGTAGATAAGGGGGTATAAAGGTCCAACACTGACTCAGAACATCCATCTGTAGGACAGAGGCAGCAGCTAAATTAGAAAGCTTGATAGGTACCTGATAGAGGTGGCCTATACCCTAAAGCCCCATACACACAGGCCAAATATCTGCTGGTATTGGCCGGTTCAACAGAAACCATTCTACACTCATCCTGTGCGTACACCAGCCTGTCCAACAGAAGCCAGATGAACAGCTGGCTTTTGTCGAACAAGCATGCTGGAAAACCAGCATCCAATCGGTGCTAGAAGCCAATGGCTGTGAACGCTAATCGGTGTGTTCTAGCTCAGTAAGGAGGTTGCTGTACAAACATAGTCAGTACAATGAGCTCCTCCCGAGCTCTTCAGTTTTCTTTTTGTTAAGACAGCTAAGTTGAACAAGAAAAAACTGATAGTGTCTACCAGATTTAGTCTGGACAAGGACATTTTAAATGTTACTCAGCACTCTGCAGAAAGCATGAAGAAAGAGTTTGAATATATTGGGCAATGAATTGAACTAAACATGGAGACACTGGGGAGGGCATGAGGGTTAAGCACAAGGATGTGCTGAAAAATGAATTTGAAAATGCTGGGGAACTGGTAGGTTTAAGCATGAAAATGCTGGGGAACTGGTAGGTTTAAGCATGAAAATGATGGGGAACTGGTAGGTTTAAGCATGAAAATGCTGGGGAACTGGTAGGTTTAGGCATGAAAATGCTGGGGAACTGGTAGGTTTAAGCATGAAAATGCTGGGGAACTGGTAGGTTTAGGCATGAAAATGCTGGGGAACTGGTAGGTTTAAGCATGAAAATGCTGGGGAACTGGTAGGTTTATGCATGAAAATGCTGGGGAACTGGTAGGTTTATGCATGAAAATGCTGGGGAACTGGTAGGTTTATGCATGAAAATGCTGGGGAACTGGTAGGTTTAAGCATGAAAATGCTAGTACAGTGTGTTGAATGTAAATGATAAGGAAGGCAGGAAGGTAGAGAAGGTGGATCTTTGGAAACTGAGAGACTGGGACAGAATGGGTTTGATGTACTAAAGGTATACTGTGCACTGCAAGTGTAGTTGCTTTATAACCAAGGGGATGCTCTGAAATGAGGCAAAGCTCTGCTGATTTCTTTCATCCAACTATGTGCATGCAAAAATGCTGTTTTTTATTTCCCTTGCATGTTCCCCTCAGATCTAGAGCAACTGCACTTTCAGTGCACTTACAGTGCACAGCCTATTTGCCTTTAGTAAATCAACCCCATTATGTTAGGTGGGAGGTGGGAGCTGATCCTGGAGCTGCATTGAGAAAGGAGTATATAGATTTGGTGTGGGTATAAAGATGCTGCGGAAGGGCAAGTACAGAGTGCAAAGAATAGTATTTGATGTCAAACATTTTTATGATTATAATGTTTTAGAAGTCCTGTGGCTTTTTCTGAAACAAAACTGTTTGAACACATACAGTAGCTTATGCAATGTCTTGTAACACTACCTTAATACATGGCAGCATGAACTTATCAAGAACTGGTACAAATGTTGACTCATCATTAAGTGCATCTCCTTGCAGCGGCATGCTGACTGTGCTCCACTGGAGCTCTCTGTGAGATCAGCAGAAACTATGAAAAATGTAATTCCCAGTTCAGAATCCTAAATCTGTGTGTGACTCAGCAGAGATGAGTAATATAGTACCCATACTCATTACAGTTCCAGCAATTTTCTGTGCACACATCTTTCTTTATTTAGAGATGTATTTCATATTTTAAGATGAAATAGCAAGTGATGAGAGATAAAGTGACCATTTCAAGCTTCATTTAATGAAAGGCCACATAGCCCAGTCTTTTCCTTGCTGTGTGGCATCAAGCGTCATACATACACAGGGGCGGACTGACCATTTGGAAACTCGGGCACTGCCTGAGGGCCCGGGGTCAGTAAAGGGCCCCATGAGATGCCCTGATACCTTTTTCATAGGCTTTTTTTAGTTTGGGCAAGGACATAGGGGCCCCATGATCCCCTATTGCCTGGGGGCCCCATGAGTTGTCAGTCCACCCCTGTACATACATTAATGGGGAAAATAATCAAGTCAATTTACTAAAGAAAAACATGACCACTTTACAAAATTAATTTTTACTTTGCAAAGTAAATTTTCACTTAGTTTAGAGAATGTAGTGAGACTAAGATATGATTTATTTTGAATGAATACCCAATCATGTGCTGGGAAAAATATATATATATATATATATATATATATATATATATATATATATATATATATATAAAAAACATATTTACTCAAAAATGATTGGATGATTGAAGTCAGCTTCACCTCATGTCCTAGGGTAAGTGACCAAGGTAGCATCTGAGCTCACCTATCTGTGTCTGTGTCTTTATGCTATATTTTACAATAGTTGCTAGCTGCTAAGTGGTCACTGGCTATATTAAAGAAAGTCTTGTTCAGCCTGCATACAGGCCATGTGCAAAAAAAGTAGAGAATGGAAAAATTGTATTTTTTACAAACAATTGTTCTGTGGTTTGTAGACCCTTGTTGTAACATATTTAAATTAGATCATGATTAAAGCATATTTTGTGGGTACAAGGACAGCTGCATATGTTACCATGTACGCAGTGAGTAGGCTCTAATTCTAAGCCTCTCCCACTGTTAGCAAAAATCTGCTATGACCCTGTTGTTTAGTATGCCACCTTTGTAGCTATTTTCAGATGACTGGACACAGGCTAAAAAAGAAGAGACATCCTCTATATAATTCCTCCCACTCTTACTGTCAAGTAACTTTGGTTTTGTAGAAAGCAATAAGGAGATAATAAATAACAGAGAGGAGGGGCCCAAGTCCTATACTGTACTCCAGGAAACACATTTTACTGAAAAGTCAAAAATCCTATTTTCTTAGTTGTACAGTGCAGAACACATGATCTTTAGCCTTTAGCCATTAAACATTCAAAAGCAGTCCAACTTAGGAGTGGTCAACAAATGCCAACATGCCCACATCATAAAACAGCTCCAGAAGGGCTTGAGACATTCAGAGAGCAGGTTGTCGCACCTTACACCCAAAACTGCAATCATAAGAGGCCTGAACATTCACCTGTTAAAACCTAACAATTGTGAAACAAAGACCAGGTGTCAGCATTGCAAATCTGGGAAACAGATGTGGAAACACACATGAAGCACTAACAGATCTTGCAGAGTGCTCATTAGGAGGAACCTGTGACCTGCGGACCAGATGTGGCATCCTGCTTGCAGTTACCTAACCCATGGTTCCACTCATTGAAATGAAGCACTGTTCTTCCCACACCATTGTTGAGGCACCATTTGCTTCACTGAAACCAACAGCGGGGCACTATCCTTCACACTGACATCAACGATGGGGCATTTGTCCTACTGACACCAACAATAGTGTACTCTTGCTCCCACTATTCCCAGTGATGGAGCACTATTCCTCCTCCTACTGACCACAGGTGCTATGTAGTTTTATTACTCCCACTAACCACCAAGCCTGGGGCATTGTTTTCTTCCACTGATGCTGGTGCATTTTCTAATCCCATTGGTCACAGTCCAGTCCCCCTAAAGTCTGAAGGACAGCAATTTGGCCTTTGCTTAGAAAGTCTGAAAACACCTGTTTTAGACCATGGACTCAAATCCAGCTATAGAGGAGCAAGAAACAGGGAGTCCCTTGTGGGCACCCTTAGGAAGCACAAAGAGGGAATTATATTGCCTAAGTCAAGTAGTGACTGAGAGGTAGGTTCTCAAAGCATGTGCCATGTCAAGACAGTGGAAACACAATTCTTTGGGATGTTTTGCAGCAGGACATAAGGAGGGAAGGACAATATTTTGGTTGACATGAAAGGAAGAAACCACCGTAAGAAGAAAAAGGCTTTATACCTCAGGACAATCTTGTTTTTGTGTAATACTAGGAAGAGCTATTTACAGGATAAGACCACTAACTCAGAGACCCTTTGTGCGGAGCTGAAAAAAATTCCACTTTGAGAAAAAGGTCAGATAAGGGAATATTCTTAATATGTTGGAAGGGTGGCCACTAAAAGACCGAAAGAACCAATTAGGGTACCATGGACTTACAGGGGAATGTCAGGGAAAGAGATGTGTGCGATACTCTGCACAAATGTCTTAAAGTGTTACTAAACCCAGGACCCTGCATTCACTATATCTGGTCTCCCACAGTACACAGAACTTGGAAGTGAAATTATTTTAGCAAATTTAAATCGCTAAATACCTTTTCTCATCAGCAGTTAGAGCAGTCTTGTGACTTCTATCAGTGTCCAGCCGAGCACATGTTAAAGTTTGTGGGAAAAGTTTTCATTCTGCTCTAGGAGGATGCAGAACCCCTGACCTCTGTCTGGACAGTGCTGATTGGCCCTGTGCTGATCACAATCACCCTCCCAAGAAAAAAAAAAACGTTCTAGCAATACACACCAAACTGAGCATGTGCAGATGGACCCCACATATATGTCTTATTAGGAGATAAGACGAGGACACTGGAAGAAGGGGAAGATCAGGATCAAACAGTGTTTTTACACAATGCAGAGCAGAGGATTAACTCATTAGGTTCCACAGTGAGTATAACAAGCATGCTTTACTGCATATACAGATTGATTTTTACTGTTGTGGGTTTAGTAACACTTTAAGTAAGGAATAAGAAGTCAACAGTCTCTGTAATAGCACATTAAGGCTGAGATTTGCCCTTGATGATATTCAAGGTCATACATTGATATAGAACAGACTGGAGGAAGGACAGGATGCAACCCTCAGAGTTTTTCAAAGATCCTATCTTGTACCACACACCAAGGTAATGGTAGACTTTGCAAGAAGTCAACTTCTTAGTCATTAAGAAGGTAGGGATGACCGAATCCAATAGGCATCTGTCCCTTACAACTTGGGCTTCAATAGCCATGCAACAGAGCCAGCAACAGAGAAACAGGATAGTGTACCCAATCCTGGGACAGAATGTCAGGATGATCTGGAAAGGACAGGCTGACAAAAGTCTGTGTATTTCCAAGTACCACATCTTTCTTGGCTAGTTCAGTGTGTGATGAGAATAACTGGAATGCCCCGTGGAGAAGACAAAGCAGAAGCTGAAGAGATCCGGAGGAACTGATCCCAGGCAGTCACCAGAGCATTCATTGTGGCCTTAGGGTCCCTAGACCTGGCAACAAATCTGTCTTATTTGTTGCTGAATCTGGACATCAGAAGATCCATGTATGGTGTCCTCCATCTGCAATAGAGGGCTTGGAACATCACTGGATGGTGAGCCCATTTTCAGAGATCCAGGAGCTGAAGACTGAGAAAATGTTCTCGACAGTTTCTTACACCTGAGATGTGGACAGGGCAGGAACAAGCAGTTCTCCCCAAGACAGGATCAAGTTTGCTTCCCTTTCAGAGGCATGACTTGAATCCCCTGGAAATTACATTCTAGATCCAAATGTCTGATATTTCCAGGGACCAGAAGGCCAAAGGGTTGATAAACAGCCCCCACATGTGGTTCTAATCTATCTTTGAGAAGAATGTTTGGAGCATGACTTTCCTTGCTTGAAGGACCATGTCTTCCGGTGAAGGTTTTTTTCCAGGCTTAGACTTGGAAATGATTGCCTGTACATTTCCATAGCCTTAGATCAAAACGTAAGGCTGTAGAAACTCGAACCTTCTTTTTCTGGGGGAAGAAGTGTATTCTTACCCCTTGTCATCTCTTTAATGTACTTATCCAAGGAGAAACAATAGAGACATTCTCCATCAAAAAGTAGGTGCTCAAACTGTTTCTTTCATGGGAGTCATGTTAACCAACATTTGGACCAAAACATTCCTCTGTGTATGGACAAAGAGGAGGCTAGTCCTGGAGATCTGGAGAAGCGTATCTGCCAAGCTGTTCAAGCAGCAGCATAAGGACACAGGTTAGAACTCTAGTGGATGGTGAATAGACGTTCTGATAAGAAAGAGCTAGGACCATGTGCAGATAGCAAGAGTCGTGGAAACTGCCATAGAAACAACAACTAGTTGCATAGCAGCGCCTGAAAAGGAAAGAAGGGCCTTAAAGAGGTCCTCTAATCTTTTGTCCACTGGGTCCTTGAACACAGAATGATCCTGATATGATATTGCTATGTCCTTTACTGTATGTCTAAGAAAAGCAAAAGTTTTGGCTAGAGTTGATTATATTGGGTTCACCGATCAAATCAGTTTAAGAGTACTATGGGATTCAAAAGCAGGTTGCAGGAAGAATTGCAGGGTTCACAGTTAAGGTTGGGTGTAAGTCTGAATTGTAAAAACCAGACTTATGTAGGCTTTTACTATTGGTGTGATTTAGCAAGAGCTGAAGAAATTTACTGCTCTCATCTACTTGTGCCAGGAGTCCTAATGCTACTTTGAATCTTTTTGGTGATTTCCCACAGACAATTTTCATCAGTCATCAAAGCTTCCAATATATGTGAAGTTTAGGATCATAGTCTGTTTGCTGCCTGGAAGCCTGATGAATCCTTCATGCACGGTTCTAAAGAGTGATAGAGGAGCAAAGCTTTGCAATGACTAAGATGTTCCTTGCTCCAGGGGTTCCAGCCTGCTTTTCTAATGCTTTTTCATCATGACAAATATATTAAAGAATATTAGTCTTCTATTTTTAAAAATAACTTTAACATGAGCTTTTAAGTATGCAGCACTTAACATTTTCTACTTCAAAATACTTGTTTTACAATGTGCAAGAGTGCCACAAAGGTAATCCAAGCATTTGTTATTCTGCAGAAGATGTTACAAAAACAAGGTACAATTTACCTGATTATAATTCTTAACTTTAATAAAAGCAACATAAGGATTGCAGGGTAAAGGTGTTTGTCTGCCTTCAGTAAAAAGCGAAAGTGGTTTTTTTTTATCTAAAGTTATTAAATACAATAAGGTACGTCATTGAATCAAAGCTTTTGTAGCCTAATTTAATAAACTGAAAACAAAAATGCTATATGGAGCATAGATATACGGCACGTAAATTCTAGACATGATTCTTAAAGCTTTTATATGTGTAAGGGGACCATTAGAAAATATTGAGGATTGTAATAGAAATGATTATAAATACTGTATCTACTTCCCTACCGGGCCACTTCTGATATTTCTTTCCCACATGTAAAAATCATGATTTTTTTTGCTAGAAAATTTCTAAGAACCCCCATATATACTGTATATATAA